AGCAGCTCACCCACTGGACACCCTGGCCTTGCCGCCAATCACTAAAAATACAAAGAAGCAGACTCCTTTCTCCATGCACAAGACACTCCACATTATCACATCCTGTTAAAACGGGGCAGGTTTTATTCATAATAGCTGGCGGTCTTACAGGTGATTTTTATTTTCTTCTTCGGCTCTCATTCCCCATTTTCTCAATCTTCTACATGAGAATGCATTGCTTTTATACTTCCAAAAAAAAAAAAAAAAACACAGAAGATCATTTTTAAAGACTTGTAAACAACCACCACCATAAATAAGCCAGGCTCTCCTTTCACAGAGTTTAAACATGAGCCTTCCTCACCAGTGAGCCTGCAGGGGATATTCTGTAACTAGGTCACCGGATTTCACTCCATCCCGGTGTACCTCTCCAAATGTTCACCAAAGCCACCAATATCTCATGAGGTTAATTTTGGACAACTGCTGAGTTGAACTAAAAGGAACACATTTAGTCAAAAAGCATTTAGGGAATGCCTCTAATATTCTTGGCACAGCAGGAGTCACCAACATGAAGAGGCCACCCCACCCTCCAGAAACCTACAGAAGGTAGGAATTAATACACACGCATAAATAGGAATAGCTCAAGGTACAATGTGATAAGTTCTAAAAGCGTTCCAGCTCAAAGCAGTGTGGGGGTTCTAGGAAAGGAAAGGTTATTTCTAGCTGCTGGGATGAGGAATGGCTTCGGGACAGAGTTAATGTCTCAGCAGGACGAGAAACACCAACAAAGGCAAGGAGGGGAGCAGATCCGAATCCAGAGTACAGTTCAGCTGGCCGGAGCCCAGGGGCACTGAAGAGTGGCCTTCACTCTGGAGAGGAAGACTGTGTCAGATGGTCCTGAGGACACGGGACACCAAGCTAGGGAGTTGGGGTGTACTGGCTCGGCGGTGGGGGTGGGGGGGAAGGTGCACTGTCTCCACGTGCATCCAGGTGCCATAGCAACCGTTTCACCCGAAGCCATCCTTTTACATGTAGGAGTAAATTAAATGAGTGAAGAAAAAGTAGAGACGACAGACAAATACCTAAGTTAGTATAAACAAGCCACACTATGTTCCCAAGTAAAATCGATGGGAGTCACCGTGAATACCTCCCAAACTAGAGAACACATGCCCTCGGTGATGAAAATCTGGTGAGTGTGGGGAGAATGAATGAGGAGGGAAATAGCAGAAGTCATGGCTCGGCCTTTCGGTGGTTCCCAGTGAGCCAGGCCAAAGCGGCTCAAGCCCCTGCTCTGGAGCCACTCATTCAAACATCTGTGTCCATTCCTGTGACACCCTCTCCACAGTCTGAGCCACCGCAAAGAAGCACCAATACTTTTGGTGAGGAAATTCTCCTTCTCGATAGGATGATAACATCATAAGATTGAAGGTTCGCTAGGGTCAGGAAAAAAAAAGCATACTGTATCCGAAAGAGAAGGAAAAGGAAAAGGAAAAGGAGAAAAGAAAAGAAAGAAAAGAGAAAGAAAAGAAAAGAAAAGAAAAGAAAAGAAAAGAAAAGAAAAGAAAAGAAAAGAAAAGAAAAGAAAAGAAAAGAAAAGAAAAGAAAAGAAAAAAGAAGAAAGAAGGAAGGAAGGAAGGAAGGAAGGAAGCAGGCGAGCAAAAGAGCAGAGACAGCTTTTCTGCCCCTAAAACATCGGTTCTTCCCCCTTGCTGAAGAGTATCATCCCTCCGGGTACTCGTTTTTTTAAAAATTCAGATACTCAGGGCCCCACTCTGGCCTATTCCAACCAGAATGCACAGAGGGGAGTCCCAGGCACAGTCACTATTACACAGCTCCCCAGCTGACTTTAACACGCAGCTGGGGTTGAGAGTCACTGCTGGCAGTCTGGGCAAAAATGCTCAGAAGAAACTGAAAGGTCAAATAAATGAGAAGAACTGACAGCCTGTTGGGCTCAAGTTCAAAGTAACCCCTAATCACATACTGGTTGCTTTTCAAGGCCTCTCTCCCCCTGGTTGGGGGCATCCGGGGTGAACTCTTTATAGGAGAGTATCAGGTTCCCCTGAGCCTGACAGCAGAGGCCAGGGGAGGGTCACCAGCATCATGTAATCAGTGAAGGTGGGTGCTCACAACGGAACACAAGTGAAGGCCATCGGGAGAGTGAGAGCCAGCACCAGCCCAAGCGAAGCTCTGTGCAGTACTGTCATGGGATGGGGACAAGGAGGAGCATGTAGATCTCGAACTCCAGCCGTCAATATCATGGCAGCATAGGGTGTAAGAAGGAACTTTGCAATTAGACACACGCTGGCTCTGTCACTTTCTAAGTGATCGTAAACAAGTGCTTTAATCAATCTGAGCCTAAATTTCCTTATTTGCAAATATATGCCTTGCGTATTGTTTTTTTTTTTTTTAGGACTTGGAATAACAGTGTACACAGTCCGGCCCACGCTAGTGCTCAGGCAATACATGTCAGTGAATATATTATCATTATCATTATTAAGCAAATAAAACCAACCCGAAATTGTCTCCAAGATGGCATGCCATCACCAAACCAGAAATTGAAGACAAAAACCAGAAATACATGTGGTAGGCAACCAAACCTGCATCTCCCAGACCAGGAGGAAGTATTATTTCTACTCCCAATGTCAACTCAACCCCAGCGTGCTTAACCGTAGATGTCAAGTCATTGTTTTTCAGTCAGGCCTCTCGGCAATTACAAACTGGCTCAGACTTCAAAAGTCATTAGGTCTCACCTTTCCTCTATCCAAACCTTTGCCACGTGAGAGAATGGCAAAGTTGAAAGGTCTTTGGAGGTGACCATCTGCCCACCATGCAAGGCTTGCCAGAGCCACATGGCACCAGAGGAGCATGTCCATCTTCAAGAGGGTGGTCCATTTCAATTACACTTAGAAGTCAATAGTCAGCATAAAACTATAAACACAACACTAATTAACGAGTTTACCAACACTTCTTATTAGACACGTGGTAGAGAAATTACGTGCTTACTCTGTAGGTGCCAGGGTCAGCACTAGAGTCAGGGCTAAAAGCCAGAGCTGTGGAATTCCATGCACCAGGATGGCAAAGGGGTCAGATGCTCAGACTCCACCACGACCAGGTACCCTAGACACTAATGTCCTTCCCTTCTCTAAGCTGTGGGTTCCCTTTCTTTAATGAGAGGATACTCCTTGATTTCCTTAAGGATTACTGGAGAACGAGTGGGTAGTGACCATGGAAACCATTTGTTCCAGTCTGACCTTGAGACACCTACATCTTGCTTTCCTGTACAAAAGCTTAAAAATCCACTGATAGAAAATTTGTAGCCATTTCCTGCTTGGGTCAAATGCCACTATCTGAGCGTCAGAGTCGATATTAAGCCAAATCTGGGGCTGAAATCTATCAGCAGCAGAATCTGAATTTCATTGATACAAGAATAAATATGAAATTTCTCAGTGTTGAAGATAACCAGTAATTGATGTTGCTGTACAGGATTTTGAAGGTTTTCCTGATCATGAGATGTTGAGGACACAAATTTGGCATCCTACTTGCAATGTGTCTTCAAAAACATGTAAAAAATTCCTAAACAGGCCCTTTCTGGAAAGATCTGTGGACTTAAGTAGAATTAAACAACTAAAACTAAGAAAAAGTTCTTAATAGACATTCTTTTTAATGTCATAAAATGCAACTACCCGTGACGTGCTCACTTGGACATGGAGTGTGTGTGGATGGGAGCAGGGAGTCAGGAAGGCTTCCAGAGAGCAGAACACATAACCCCAAATGCAAGTTGCAAGCCCTGAATCTATGAACACCATCAGAGGAAGAGGTGCTCTGGAACGGCATGCCAGGTGGCAGCATGTACAGGAAAAGCCACAAATTTCACGGCCTTTCACATCCTGTTTTGAGTCTCAGTCCTGTGACTACTACCTCTGTAACCTGGGAGAGTAACATAAAGTCTCTGAACCTCAGTTTCCTCATCTGTAACATGGGGCAGTATCTGTATTTTGAGCGCACGTTGGAAAGATCGTCCATGGTGCCCAGTAGAAGCGCCTCGCACGGACCCCGGCTGTGGATATGACATTCCAGATTTCCTCTGCTCCTCTGCAGTTAGGAACCCACACACTTGGTGGATAGGCTCAGCCTGCTTGAGCGGCACACTGCCCTATGAGATGCTTTATAACCCTGTTGCTGAAGCAATCAGGAGGCTTTCCATGTCTCCAACAAGGCAAGGGGTACTTTCCCAAGAAAACGTGATAGGAATAATACTTAAGTGAGCCACCCAAACATTTTCTAACTTCCCTCGCATGAGGCAGGAGTGAGTCAGAATGTGAAGGTTTATCTGTGTTTATCCAGCACGACACGGAGGACAGAGATGCTGTGCTATGACCGGTGAGTGTGGCTGAGAAAGACAAGGCCTCCAGGGGACTGAACAGTCAGGTATCCATTTCTGCTGGAAGTCCTATGGGGAGGTGACACCACAGGAAGGCGACAAACCTTCAGTAAGAGATGCCCTGGGGATTTTTGATCATTCAGCTACACAAGCCTCATCTCTTACCTGAGGAGAGGCGATGAAGGAATTCTACCCAATGCATCTGACGGGCCTGAGTTTGTTGATACCCCAAAGAGGAAGATGCATGTGGAGTAGGGAATATTCTCCTCTATATCCTTCAAACCCTTTGCTCTGATTCTTCCTTCTCCGAGCAATGCCTCTGCCAACCGATCCCATTTCCACAGCATCTGAGGCAGAGCCCAGATACTGGCAAGCCAATTAATGCAAAGCTCTTGCTCCCAGGCATGTATGAAAACGGCACTGGGTTGATCCTGGGCTGCCTTCTGCATCTGACTAATGCAAACCAATTTCCTCCCCATCCCACCATGGAAGCCCTGATTTGCTATTTTCAAAAGGTGGGGAGGTGAGGAGTTCCAGGCTTAAAATGATGAGGACCAGATACAAACTGCACTGACCACATGATCAAGTGAAGTCCTGTCTCATAACTGCCAGAGTCTTCCAAATCACCAGGGGCAACACTTACTGAGCCAGTAGTCTTACTGAATTCTTCCTACCCTTATAAGGGCGGCTTCATCTGCTTTGGCTGTCACCTTCTTTTGTAGTTGTGGAATATATCATTTGCAGAGTTGAATTTCTTAAGAGCAGGTGGGCAGATCCAATTACAGTTTAATGTCTAGTCACTTAAATTCATCAGGCATCTATTGAGCAAAAAACATGTACACAGATGGCCCTGAGCAAGACCCTGGAAGTACAAAGGTGAAATAAGATACAATCACTGACTCGTGTCATATAATCATTGGCCTTGTAGGCATGAAATAAAGGTTAACCATTCAGTGTTGCAATACATAAGTATTATAAATATTAATTGTGATGTTAAAAGTACAGGACATAATTAACAATGGAGAACTGGTTTAAAAAGCAAGCCCAGGGAGGCCTGGGTGGCTCAGATGTTTAAGCGTCTGCCTTCAGCTCAGGGCATGATCCCAGGGTCCCGGGATCAAGTCCAAAATTGGGCTCCTTGCTCAGTGGAGAGTCTGTTCCTGCCTCTGCCTCTGCCTCTGCCCCTCCCCCTGCTTGTGCCTCCACACACTTTCTCTAATAAATAAAATCTTTAAAAAATTTTAAAAAATTAATAAACTAAAAAGCAAGCCCCCAAATAGCAGGCTGTGATGTATACACACACACATGCAAATGGGAATGCTATTCACTATAATGTACTTCAGGGAAATAGGATTCCAGGCAATCTAAGATTTTGTTCCTTACACTATCTTTTTTTCCCAATTTTCTACAATGAAAATTAATTACTTATAAATTCAAAAAGCACCAATAAAATGTTGAAAATAAAGCACACTAAGGGCATCAGTCTTCTGACTTCCCAAAGAGCTCCTGTACTAAACCTAGAGATTTGACACCCTAATCCCTCGCTCCAAAAATCCGTGTGTGTGTCTGTGTTAGTGTACGTGTGTGCCTGTGTTACACATTTGTATGGTTGATACTGACTAACCTAAAATACAAGTCCTTTGTGGGATCCTGGTTGGGTGGAAGAAGACTGGACAAGCTCTGAGAGACAGGTAGTCATCTTTTGGAGTAACTGAAATCGGGAGTAGCTGCTGATCAGAAAAGCTATTCAAGCACAGAAGACACATGGGGCAGAGAAAACCAATAGCCATTTGGTCTGGCTCTTGCACTGGAAAAGCAGAAGGGTATCTCTCCCAACCACAGGCACTGGCTTGTGAACGAGCTGCCTGTCCAAGGGGCAATTCCATGTGTCTATTCCCGGAGACAAGCAGCCATCACTAAATCATTTATTTAATAATGATCCAGAACTAAGCTTTATACCTCTAGAAAGGCCAGAAACATTACACAAATAATTCTTTGCAAATATGTTCATTTGATTTGTTTAGAAGCTGCTGTTAAAAACATACATTTGGAAGGGGAAACCAAACCAGAAACACTGCAACAAGCTAAGTGAAAAATTACGACATCAAGTTCAGAAATACTTAATGAGCACTTACTATATGCCAGGCATTGATTGTAGTAGGTATTTATACTACAGTAAGGAATAAAAGGGCAACAGCCCCTACCTTTACACAGCTTACCTTTGGAAGAATGTAGGAGGAAATCATAAAAACAAAAAGTAGATGTGGAATCCTGGTACTACAGGACACAATACTGCAGGCCTAATAAACTTGACTGTGTAGGTCAAACTAACAAAGCTGTTAATGGGTAGAGGCGTAGGCAGATTTTGGTTCCTGATCAAATATATTTGACAAATTCATACATGAGCTCCAAGAAGCTCTACAGCAAAGAAATATGTCTAAATTTGATCAAGTTTACATTTCCTAATTGTGTTTGACCACAGAACCCTCCTTCTTGTGGAATACCTACCAACAGACCATAGAAAACAAACATTTACCAAAACAAAGTTTGCAAAATGCACAATAGTGGCTGTGCCAAAGATATAAAATTATCATCAGATGGGTTCATTTAAAAAAAGACAGGAATGTTCATTAGGCTCTCTATAAAAATTAACATACTTTTAAGTATTGACTCTTAAAAGTAGGAAAATCTATTTGGAATTCTTCATTTCCCAAAATCTAGGAGACAGAGACTTTGGTATATGTCCCAAATTACCAGAGAATGTCTCCTAAACCCCAAAACTTCCAGAGTCCACTGCCCACCCAATGTGACTATGGGAACCCACAGAGGCATCAGCAAAACAGGCAGGTGGCAGAAGAGGGCATAGTGAGTAATCAGCATGTGACCAGGTGCTAGAGACAGCAGACAGAGAGTCACAGGTGCTCCCAGAAAAGTATACAGCCAAGTTCTCACAGTCTATTTCAGGGAAGGGGAGTGGTTATAGATACTGCTGACAGGAAGGAAAATGCAGACAATCCCTAAAACTTTGTTTTGTTTTAAGTAGTTTTCCTATAGGGTGCCTGGGTGGCTCAGTCAGTTAATTGTCTGCCTTTAGCTCAGGTCATAGTCCCGGGGTCCTGGAATTGAATCCCACATTGGGCTCCCTGTTCAGCGAGGAATCTGCTTCTCCCTCTGCCCTTTCCCCTGTTTGTTCATTCTCTCTCTCTCTCTCATAAATAAAATATTTAAATAAATAAACATTTTCCTGTTAAATATATTTATACATTTATCGATAAGAGAAATGGATTGGGAGAGGTTGACTTATAAAACAGAAACCGAGTCCTGAGTTGAAAGTCAACAAATTTAGGTTTAACACGGTCATTAGCTAGCCAATACCCCATTCTCCTTGGATCACCCTGTTCCACTGTTCACCACTGCTTAGTCCCCTTCACATCTAGTCGTGCGTGATATGTGTTACAGAGTAACCACCAATCTCAAATCACAGAGACAAAGAATTTTCCAACTGGTGTTGGGACACTTAGATAGCCATTTGGATAAGGACAGAATTAGATCCATTCATCACATCATACACAAGAATAACCTGCAAATGAATCAGACATCTAAATGTGAAAAATGAAATTATACAGGCACTGGAAAATAACACAAGTGAACATAACTGTTGAGAAATGCTTTCTAACCACGATCAAAAAACCGAGCAATGGAAGAGAAAGCTGATAAATTCATCTATATAAATATAAAAATTTTCACATGACAAGAAAAGCCCTGTAAGAAAGGTCAAAAGGCAAATAATACACTGGGAGAAAATATTTACAATATATTTCACAGATGAAGGGCTAATTCATAAAGCATATTTTACAGAAAAAAGGCCAAAATCCAACTGAAAAAAAATGGGCAAAATATATGAACAGACAATTCACAAAAAATGAGATTTATAAAATTAACAAATGTGGTCTTTAAACAAATGAAAAAAAAGTTCAACTTCATTTAAAATAGGATATATGCAAATTAAAACTACACTGAAATATCATTTCTCACCCGTCACACTGGTAAAAATTCCAAAGGCTGACAACATGCTGTGGTCGAGGATTCTGGTGAGACACTCCCACAGAGAAGAATTCGGCCCTACCTAACTAATACAACATTCTTCCTTGACCCAGCATTCCCACTTCCAAGAATATAGCCTGAAGATAAATCTCCACTGATATGAAAGTGAATATGAATAATATTATCCATCGCAGGAAACCATTCCACTGTCCAACCACAAATCAGCTGTATGAGAGAGCAGAGAGAAGGAAGGAAGGACGGAAAGAACAGCAGAAAGATAGAAGGAGGAGAATTAAGAAGGGGAGAGATGAGGAAGAGAGGGATGGGGGGAAACAGAAAGAACAAAAGAATTTTTAAAAAGCAAAGTGCAAAAAGGCTTATTTTTTATAGTACATTACCTTTTATGTAAGAAAAAAAAGCAGTATGAAAACACACATAAATCAGGTTTAAAAGAAATACAGGAAAGATAACCAAGATAACAAAGAGACTGCTTCCCTACAAAAGGGAGAGGGAATATTGGGGTGGAAGGAATGTTGGAAGGAGTAGCACTTCTCTGGGTATACGTTTTCATTTACTTTGGACATCTGGAAACATGTTAATGTTTTACACATGCAAAAAACAAAATTAAATCAACAAGGCAAGGGTGGGAAGGAGGAAAGCTAAAGCCAAAAGCAAACTAAAAGAAGTAAACCCAAATATATTTTAAATGAACAACCTAATGACAACAGGGGACTGGAGGGGGGGAAGTCTATAAAGAAAAAAATTCCTTGAGGCACCTGGGTGGGTTCAGTTGGTTAAGCATCTGACTCTTTCTTCTGGCTCAGGTCATTATCTCAATCCTATCTGGACTCCCTGCTGGGCGTAGAACCTGCTCAAGATTCTCTCTCTCTCCCTCTGCCTCTCTCCCCCTTCTCTCTCAAAAGAGAAAGGAAGGAAGGAAGGGAGAGAGGGAGGGAGGGAGGGAGGGAGGGAGGGAGGGAGGGAGGGAGGGAGGGAGGAGAGAAAGAGAAGAAAGAAAAAAAAGAAAAGAGGAAAAGAAAAAAGAAAAAGAAAAGAAAAGAGAAAAAGAAAAGAAAAGAAAAAAAGAAAAGAAAGAAAAGAAAAGAAAAAAAGAAAGAAAGAAAAAAAAAGAAAAGAAAAGAAAAGAAAAGAAAGAAGGAAGGAAGAAAATTCCTAAACATAGTATTTGACAATAAACTTTCAGTCTCAGGCAGGGTTAAAGTTGGGAAAGGGCATCCCAAGGAAATCCTGAACTGTTTTTAGCAGGTTTGTTTGGTACAAAACCTTAAAAAAACATTATTATTAATAATTGTGTTATTATATTCACATCCCCATAGCTACAGGTATGTGTGTACATACAGGTGATATAAACATAGAGAAATGCATGTATATACTTTCATGTGTATGATTTCCTGGCTCTGGCCATCAAAGGACCTGTGACCAAAGGCACACAGTGGCCACGAGCACACCTGACACACAAGTATTGGTCCCCAATCCCATTCTCTGCTGCAGAGAACCAGGATGTACTGAAGAAATGGTTGATTTCAGAGCTTGAGCAGAGATGACCCAAGATGAAACTAGAAAATCTTTTTATTCTAGCAGGTAAATAAGTGCTAACACAACAACAAAGACAGGAACGTGCCACAAGGAGGTAGGAGCCAGATTAAAGGGGCTCTCATGGGACAAATCTGGGGCAATCTAAGCATCAAAATAACTACATAGCGCTGATAAATTATACAAGATTGAAAGGGAAGTCCATCCCTATATTGGAAAC